TTTGTCTGCAATCTATGTATGAGCATTTTCATGCATCAAATTTTGCCAGGAGTCTCTCATATTATCTTTTATTATAGTCACAAAATTATGTGCTCTTCAGTATAAATACTTGTCGTTTTATAGTTGAACGCTGGGGATACAAGCGATTTTCCACACAACCAGCACCTACATTTTCCAAATGTGGTTTTCACCGTGCATTGGGATTTACTCGGGGTGGCTGGCAAAATAGGAGGGAAATATTAGGGAAAGTTAGAAATTTATAGTCTCAACCCATTTGGAAGGCAGAAAAGTTTTAATGGAATGGGCTAAATGTAGCCAGTTCATTATGTTAAAATTTTAATAGGGTGAAATATAGAGACAATGAAGCTTCCCCAGTGGCCTGTTTACCCACATCCCGTTGTCTCTATTCTAACTGTTCACTCATGTAAACCCTGTGCTGAACAGTCCTCTCAGCAGGAGGTCAAAGAGGAATGACACGTGAAGGGTGTTTTCTCTGGGCCCAAAACCAAAAGCTTTTATCAGTCAAAACCACTCTTCGAACCATGTTAATTATCCACAAGTGTGTTAACTTAAAGCCTCTGTTATTCAATCTATACCAAATAAATGTAAGAAGGTACAGGGAATCACGGCCAGGTTTGCTAAAACTGCTCTCTAAAAGCAGTTAACAAACATCCCCACCGCATTCAAAATCACTGTACTGGTTGTGAGTGCATTCATTCATCTGTGCCTAAGTCGGGGTCTGCAAAACAAACCTCCACGGGTGGTGTGGGTGTTTCATTGTTTGAATTCGTGTTGCATGACGTGAACATGCATCTCTCCCAGCTGCACTCCCACCTGAGAGGAAGCCTGGCTAACAATACCGCCGGGAGCAAGACTCCTCAAAGGAGAAGAAAACACTGGCAGGATGTGACATTCTGAAGTGTGAGGACTTTTCCCAGGTCTAAAGCTTCTGGAGGTGGCAGTTTGTGTCTCCATCTCCATGGGGTCCAGAATTTGCTGCATAGCAGGAGGTGACAAGGAGCTGCTGGATTCTTGGGTAATGTTAACACTGGACATGTGCTTGCTCTAAGCTCTGGAAGTCACACACTCCCTGGGTTGGTTTTCTTTTTTTTTTTTTTTGAGATGGAGTCTTGCTCTGTTGCCCAGGCTGAAGTGCAGTGGTGCGATCTCAGCTCACTGCAACCTTCGCCACCTGGGTTCAAATGATTTTCCTGCCTCAGCCCCCTTACTAGCTGGGATTACAGTGACTCGCCACTACACCAGGTAATTTTTGAATTTTTAGTAGAGGTAGGGTTTCACCATGTTGGCCAGGCTGGTCTCGAACTCCTGACCACGTGACCCACCGCCTCAACCTCCCAAAGTGCTGAGATTACAGGTGTGAGCCATCATGCCCAAACATTTTTTCTTTTTTAGAGATGGAGTCTTGCTCTGTCACCCAGGCTGGAGTTCAGTGGCACAATCTCAGCTCAATGCTGCAACCTCTGCCTCCTGGGTTCAAGAGATTCTCCTGCCTCAACCTCCTGAGTAGCTGGGACTACGTGTGCCACCACACCTGGCTAATTTTTGTATTTTTAGTAGAGACAGGGTTTCACCATGTTGGCCGGGCTGGTCTCAAACTCCTGACCTCAGGTGAACCACATGCCTCAGCCTCCCAAGGTGCTGGGATTACAGATGTGAGCCACCACGCCTGGCCCTTCCCTGCATCTCAATGTCCACAAATATTATAAATCACCTGCTTAACTGTCTAGGATTTTCAACTAATCGTCCAATGTCTAGATGAAGGTGCCTTCAAATATTTATAAGTCAGGATGTAAATTAGGATGTTTTATCAATTAATTGGTTGATTCCAAAAATGTAAATCTTTGAAATAGGGCTGGAGAACTTAGCAAGGTAATATCAATTCCACATGAGCCTTTGAAGATCAATTGTGCTATCTGCCTCTCAGGAAGTATTGGTATGTGACGTTTCCTTACTAACATGGACTTTAATTTCATTTAGCTACTGTTCTTTTGATTCATGATTTGAAAACCATTTTGTCTCTCAAAAAACCATACTAGCCAGGCTTGGTGGATAACGCCTGTAATCCCAGCACTTTGGGAGGCCGAGGCATGTGGATCACGAAGTCAGAAATTTGAGACCAGCCTGACTAACATGGCAAAACTCCCTCTCTACTACAAATACAAAAATTAGCTGGACGCGGTGGTGGGTGCCTGTAATCCCAGCTACTCAGGGGGTTGAGGCAGGAGAATCGCTTGAACCCAGGAGGCAGAGGTTGTAGTGAGCCAAGATTGTGCCACTGCTCTCCAGCCTGGGTGACAGAGTGAGACTCTGTCTCAAAAAAAAAAAAAAAAAAAAAAAAAAAAAAAAAAAAAAAAAAAAAAAAGACAACCCATACTATTGGCCAGGTGCAGGGGCTCACGCTTGTAATTCCAGCACTCTGGGAGGCTGGCAGGAGGACTGCTTGAGACTGGGAATTTGAGACCAGCCTGGGCAACATGACAGAACCCCTGTCTCTATAAAAAAAAACAAAAATGAGCCGGTTGTGGTGACACACATCTATACTTCCAGCTACTCGGGAGCTTGAGGCAGGAGGATTGCTTGAGCCTGGGAGGTCGAGGCTGCAGTAAGCAGTGATTGCACCACCACACTCCAGCCTGGGCAGCAGAGTGAGACCCTGTCTCAAAAAAGGAAAACACCCAAACCCCTCCAAAAGCATAGAACTGCCTTTCCTGTTAGATACCTCCACTGCTGTACATATTGCTCAGTTGTGACAAAACATCCCTCATGTTCCATTTTGGATTCCCTGAAGTGTGGCCTATGGTGTGGCCTTGGAGCCCCTGAAGGAGGGAAGTGCACCTGCTGCTGTGGCTGCATTGCCTGTCCACACAGGGGGTTTCCAGCCAGACAGGTGAGCACCTGCAGCGATGCCCTCTCATCCACACCCGTCATCCTTCCTGCCCTGACTCCAGGTGAGGGCAGATGGCCGTGTAATTACAGGTAAGTCGTCTTTTTTTTTTTGAGACGGAGTTTCGCTCCTGTCACCCAGGCGGGAGTACAATGGCGTGACCTCAGCTCACTGCAATCTCCGCCTCTCAGGTTCAAGTGGTTCTCCTGCCTCAGCCTCCCCAGGAGCTGGGATCATGGGAATGTACCACCATGCCCAGCTAATTTTGTATTTTTTTTTTCAGTAGAGATGGGGTTTCTCCACGTTAGTCAGGCTGGTCTCGAACTCCTGACCTCAGGTGCTCCGCCCACCTCGGCCTCCCAAAGTGCTGGGATTACAGGTGTGAGCCACCGCACCAGGCCTCAGGTAAGTCTTCTTTACTCAGTCATTTATTCACTCACTTGGCTAATTCATTCATAAATTCCATTGCTGTAACTTAGTAATCCCAAATAACCTAAACCTCCACCTGCCATGCAATGCCCTTACCACACAGCTTGCCTGGCCGGCTAATTCTTCCCAGGGATTTCCCATCCCTGTAATGCCGTTAAAATGTCTAAACTAGGCCGCCTGCTTACAAAACAGCAAGTCAGAGTAAAAACAAAACTGGGCTTAGATCCCACAAATCACAACTGTCACACAAGAGGCTCGGCTGGGTGCAGTGGCTCACACCTGTAATCCTAGCATTTTGGGAGGCTGAGGTGGGTGGATCACTTGAGGTCAGGAGTTTGAAACCAGTCTGGCCAACATGGTGAAACCCCGTCTCTATAAAAATACAAAAAACTTAGCTGGGCATGGTGGCAGGTGCCTGTAATCTCAGCTATTCAGGAGGCTGAGGCAGGACAATTGCTTGAACCCAGCGGGCAGAGGTTGCAGTGAGCCGAGGTTGTGCCACTGCACTCCAGCCTGGGCAAGAAGAGCGGAACCCTATCTCAAAGAACAACAACAAAACATGCTAACAAAATGCTGCAGCAGGGTATGATTTGAGAAGTCATTTCTGAGACAGGGGATGGGACCTGGGAGCTGTCCATCTCCTGAAAATATGTGGCAGGAGACAGAAGAACTAAGATTCTCTACACAGTAGGACAATGTGCCTCTCACTGTTGTGGAGACTTGGGGTGGACAATCAGGCTTAGGGTTAAGAAGCCTCTGGGAAAAGGCCCAGAATGCACTGTTGAGCCAGCCCAGCGGCTCACACGCCCCCAAATCCCCACCCCCAATGCTGTCCAGAAGGCCGCAGGCCACATCACTGCCGGGTGAGGTTGAGGAAACGCTGCCTTCTCACATCGCGTTCTAGCAACTAACGTAAAAAATGTAAATAATGTTATCAAAATTAGGATTTTATGTTGTTTCAATTCAAACAGAAATTCAGTTGAGGAATAAATATCCAGGTGTGGTGACTCACACCTGTAATCTCAGCACTTTGGGAGGCTGAGGCAGGTGGATCACTTGAGGTCAGGAGTTCGAGACCAGCCTGGCCAACATGGCAAAAATACAAAAATTAGCTGGGCATGGTGGAGGGCGCCTGTAATCCTAGCTACTTGGGAGGCTGAGGCAGGAGCATCACTTAAGCCTGGGAAGTCAAGGCTGCAGTGAGCAGTAATTGCACCACTGCACTCCAGCCTAGGTGACAGAATGAGACCCTGTGTCTAAAAAACAAAGTAGGTATAGTTTCCTACAAAACCAGAATAACATATGGTAGCTGACACGTTCAAAAAAATCCTGCATATCACCAAATACTCAGGAGTTTTCTTTTTCTTTTTTTTTATTTTTATTTTTGAGACATAGTCTCGCTGGGAGAGCAGTGACAGAATCTCAGCTCAGTGCAACCTCCGCCTCCTGGGTTTGAGCGATTCTCCTGCCTCAGCCTCCCGAATAGCTGGGATTACAGGAGTTTGCCACTACGCCCAGATAAGTTTTGCATTTTTAGTAGAGACGGGGTTTCATCATGTTGGCCAGGATGGTCTCGATCTCCTGACCTTGTGATCTGCCCGCCTCGGCCTCCCAATGTGCTGGGATTACAGGCGTGAGCCACTGCGCCCAGCCAGGAGGAGGTCTTCAAAAAATAGTCAATCTCAGAAGGTGGGAGAAATGCCGGGCCACGAGGACACAGCCATGGGAAATGATATTTACATGGCTAAGAATCTGAGTTTCCTGTGAGAAACAACAGAAAAAAAATATCCTCCTTGTACAACGAGAGAAAATACTATTTTTTTCCATGAAACCATAAGGGTGTGGGCAGTGTAAACCCAAAATTACGCATGAGAGCTTCCCCAGAGCTCTGTGTGGGTGGAGAAATGTGTCCTAACTGCTGCCTTGCCTGCCATCTTGGTACTGGGAACCTGTGAGAATTTCCGAGCCCGACACCCTGCGTCCTGGCTTTTCTCAACAGATGCAGAGCAATGCGTGTGTAGTCCAGCTGGGCAGCACCCAAACAGTGAGACAGGCCACCAGCTCCCAGAGCTGGGCCCTCCTGGCTCCTGAGGACCCTTTGGGGATGGCTCTGGTCAGTACAGCCCTTTCTTTCTCTGCTCTCACAGCTGTGGGGTGACATGCTCTTTCTGAAGCACTGAGACTCCCCCAGCCGAGGCCAGCAGCCGGACTGAGCCACGTCCTCTCCCTCACTCCAAACTTCCTCCTCTCCTCAGTCTTCACTGCTCGTCCCAACACGACCACCTGCCCCCAGCAGACCACACCAGAGTCCTGTGCGCTGCAGCTGCTCCCGCAGACTAGAGCTCAACCCTCACTGTGGTCCTGGCTTTCAAGGCCATTGCACCTGGGAAGAGACGGAGGTGTCGGCTGCTGTCAGGGCACCTGGGTCGTTCCCATTTGCTCCTGATGCAGGTGACTCTGCCCGTGAGATCTGGCTGGAAACCTCTCTCCTACCCACTGCCAGAGACACATGCTGAGCCCAGACACAGCCTCCTTAGTCCTCGGGCATCACTGCCTGCTGGGACACCCTAGGATACCTGGGAGGCTTCAGTGTGACTTTCCCAGTCAGGATCCCGTCCGACACCTGCATGGAGGCAAGTCCCTGACATTCAGCTGGAGTTCGGCAGGGTCTGGGTCACCTTCCTTCCTGTCCACCAAGAGCAGGTCTCCATCGCAGCCTCTTGGGTGGGGCTCCCAGGCTGCACTTTTGCCCCCAGGGCTACACCACCCTTCCTGTAGGCTAAGGCCTGATAGGAACACCTGGCAGGGTGAGGGAATAAGAGAGGTTCCAGGTGCAAAGAAAACATCAGCAGACACTTAAGTTCCCCCCTGTACAAAAAAACAAATGTACCCTTTACACTCCTGTTGAAAAAGTAAGCTCTGTGTGTTCTGCCATCACTTCAGGGAAACCAGCCCCTGAATTACCCATTTCAGAAGCGTGGCCCCCAGGTGCACGGGGTGGACATGAGCAGAGGGGAGGGGTGTGCTGACCCATCTGACCCTTGACCCCAGCGCCATGAAGGGAGAAACGCAAGGGGCGGGCTTGGCTGCTGCCCTCCACCATCACAGCAGGTGAGTAGGCCTGACGCCTGAGCTCCGTGGAGCCCTCTGATGGGAGGAACACTGTCCCAGAAAGGCCATAAGGAACAGAGGCACTGAGACCACTCGTCAAACCAATGCCCCATTTTACTAAAAACCACATGTGCATTACATTTTACAAAACAGTCCCTTCCTTAACCCCATAAAAGAATGGGGATATTGGGGAGCTACGGGAACAGGTCCCCCTCCAAATGCTCAGGGCTACCTAGGCCTCCCCAGACCCCTGGTCCAGTGCAGGGCAGGGGGCAGCAGAGCCTGCTCAGGGTTCCTGGAGCCCGTCCGGAGCCCTCAGTGCCTACCTAGGGCTAGACAGACCACCTGGGGGGCTGGCCTCAGCTGGACTCACAGCCACTCCCTGCCTGGGCGGCATCCAGCCTCAGGAGGAGGAATGCGGGTACCCATAGTGGTTGTGGTCAGCCTCGCCCAGGGTCACTGTCAGTGACAGGCTGGGCTTCCGTTCCAGCTCCTCCTCCTTCGGGCAGTGATGTGGGGGTCGGGCTTTGAAGAAGTCTGAGATGTAGTGGACCTGGCAGAGTGGAGGAAGGTGAGACTGGGCAGGGGCTGGGCAGTCACCAGGGACATGGGCAAGGGCAGGAGGGGAAGGAACAGGGTCCTAGGTGGGCAATGAGAGGAATAGTGCCTGTGGGGGAAGACAGCCCTCTTGGTGGAGGACCAGTGGAGAGCACTGGGGCACTGACGGGTCCAGGAAAGGGCTGCGGTGTGCAGGCAGGAGACCCAGGGAAGGAACTGGGGGAAGAAGGTGTCAAGGGAAGGACTGGGTTTGGGGAGAGGGGTCCCAGGGAAGAAATGGGGGGAAGGGAGGGGGCCCCAGAAAGGATTGGGGTTGAGGGAAGGGGTCCCGGGGAGGAATGGGGGAAGGAGGGGTCCCAGAAAGGACTGGGGTTGGGGGAAGAGGTCCCAGGGGAGAAATGGGGAGAAGGGAGGAGTCCAGGGAAGAACTGGGGTTGGGGAAGGGGTCCCAGGGGAGGATGTGGGGGGGGAGGGAAGGGTCCTGGGATGAACTGGGGTTGGGGGGTCCCAGCGGAGAAATGGGGGGAAAAGGGGGTCCCAAGAAAGGACTAGGGTTGGGGGAAGGAGTCTCAGGGGAGGAAGGGGGGGAAGAGGGGTCCACGGATGGACTGGTGTTGGGGGAGGGGTCCCAGGGGAGGATCTGGGAGGAAGGAGGGGTCCAGGGAAGAACTGGTGTTGGGGAAGAGGTCCCAGGGGAGGAATCAGGGGAAGGAGGGGTCCAGGGAAGGACTGGAGTTTGGGGTAAGGGTCCCAGGGGAGAAACGGGGGGAAGGAGGGGTCCCAGGGAAGGACCATGGTTGGAGGAGGGGGTCCCAGGGGAGGACTCCCTGCGGCAAGAGTGTGCAGGGAACGGCCAGCGTTGTGCAGGGAGTGGTCTCTGGACAGCACAGGGGGTGAGTCAGGGTCAGAAGCTCACAGTGAGGCCAGCCACCAGCGCCCCCTGCAGGAGGCCAGCAACGACGTCGCTCCAGTGGTGTTTGTGATCAGACACGCAGGTGTAGCCCACATAGAGGGCAAAGGCCACCAGGAAGAACTGGACCGTGGGCCGCAGCAGCCGAGCCCACTTCCAGCAGAACCGCGCCTGCACGTAGAGCTGGGACGGGAGAGGGCGCCTCAGACTGTGCCCTGCCAGGCACTCCCACGCCCACTGCACAGATGGCAGCTCCGAGGCCGGGATCACAGAACCGGCCAGCCCAGGGTGTCCTGTCTTTACAAACAAGTCAGTGAGCGCCCCCATCACCACCACGACCCACCCATTTTACAGCTGGAAAAACCGAGATCCAGGGAAGGGAGTGACTTGACGGGCGAGCCCCAGAGAAACGGACTCACCGCCAGGAGCACCACGCAGTACATCCCAAAGGTGGCGTGTCCCAAGTAGAAAGACAACCTAGGGAAGGAGAGGCGGCAGGCCGGAGGGCAGGTGGCTCACTCGGCATCTTCCAACCTCCCCTCGCCCCCGTCCCTCCCGCAGAAGGGATGGTTCAACACGGGAGCTGCCAACGTTACAGGCCACCAAATCCCAGGAGGACAGGCTGCTCAGTTATCTGATGGTGGAATCAGAGTCTCCAGTTGGGGCTGTGGCATGAGACGCCTCACCCGTGAAGACTCTGAGGCCTGAACCCAACACCCAGGGCAGACGGTAGTGTCCAGCAAGCAGGCAATGCCGGTTTCGTTTTCACCACGTTTCTTTTGAGCATTTTCTCCCATCTGTGGAACTGAGGGGAGATTTCTTTTTATATAAATTTGAGATTCCGTGAAGGACATGAATGAAACACAGAAAACAGGAAGCAACAAAAAACTGGCAAAAAAAGTCACAATTTTTTTTTTTTTTTTAAAGACGGGGTTTCACCATGTTGGTTAGCCTGGTCTTGAACTCCCGACCTCAGGTGATCTGCCCGCCTTGGCCTCCAAAGTGCTTGGATTACAGCGGCGAGCCACCACATCCAGCCACAATCAACTTTTTTGGACCTAATCAAAAGCTTGCAGTAAACAGAGGAACACATGATTAATATAATCCAGTTGAGGCTGGGCACATTGGCTAAGGCCTGTAATCCCTGCACTTTGGGAGGCCAAGACAGGCGGATCACAAGGTCAGGAGATCGAGACCAGCCTGACCAACATGGTGAAACTCCGTCTCTACTAAAAATACAAAAATTAGCCAGGTGTGGTGTCACATGCCTATAATCCCAGCTGCTTGGGAGGCTGAGGCAGGAGAATCACTTGAAAACCTGGGAGGTGGAGGTTGCGGTAAGCCAAGATCACGCCACTGCCTGGGCGACAGAGCGAGACTCCATCTCAAAAAAATATAAAGATAATCCAGTTGGATCTCAGAACAAACAGCTTTGTGGCTTTTTAACTCATCCTGGTCCCTCTCCCACTGCCTAGACTGTGGTGGCCTGAGGGTAACAGACCACATGCCCAGCACAGGTTCCAAGAAGGGGCCTTATTTGCAACTGCGACCTGGGGTATGGCTCAAGGGCTGGTCTTGATCTCACCCAACTGGACATTCTCCCAGTGCTGAGGTGCTACCTGGAGGACATATGTAGGAAACGTTTACAACAAATTTGTTAGTCTCTGCTGCCTGAGGGCCATGAGAGCAGATGAGGCAAAAAACAGATGAGCCAAACAGCGTAGGAGGAAAGGCCAGGGAATAAAACGCTCTGGGGAATGAAGGCTTGGAACCTACAAGACCAGAGCAGTCCAGCTCTGCACAAGCAGGAAGTGAAAGTGAAGGCAGAGAAAACCTGTTTCACCGTGGAAGGGATGACCCCACAGCCACGCAGACCCCTTCTACAGACTTGGGAGTGTGTTGTGGGTTTTTTTTTTTTTTTTTTTTTTTGGTTCCAGATGTTTAAAGACATCTCTGTCCTATCACTAGCTGACCACCAGGCTAAAAGAACAGGAGGAGATGGCCACTCATGACAAAAAATAGAGACTTCACAATCAGAAAAGTCATTAAATAACCACTGCAGCAAACAGCAAGAACACACCCTGGGGAGGAGGGAGACTCCTATTTCCAGAGTGGCCGCATTATAGTATTCTAAACACACAGTTTAAAACAAAATAAAATAGGTCGGGCGCAGTGGCTCACGCCTGTGACCCCAGCCCATTGGGAGGCTGAGGCAGGCAGCTCACCTGAGGTCAGGAGTTCGAGACCAGCCTGGCCAACGTGGTGAAACCCTGTCTCTACTAAAAGTACAAAACTTGTCCAGGTGTGGTGGTGCATGCCTGTGATCCCAGCACTCAGAAGATTAAAGCAGGAGAAGTGTTTAAACCCAGGAGGCGGAGGTCGCAGACAGCAAAGATCGCACCACTGCACTCCAACCTGGGTGACAGAGTGAGACTCCGTCTCAAAAAAAACAAAGAAAATAGGTCAGTTAAGAGTATTCAGCTGGGCCAGGCACAGTGGCTTATGTCTGTAATCCCAGCACTTTGGGAGGCTAAAGTGGGTGGGTCATCTGAGATCAGGGGTTCAAGACAAGCCTGGCCAACATGATGAAACCCAATCTCTACTAAAAATACAAAAAATTAGCAGGATGTGGTGGTCCATGCCCATAGTCCCAGCTCCTCAGGAGGCTGAGGCAGGAAAATCACTTGAACCCAGGAGGCAGAGGTTGCACTGAGCCAAGATCATGCCACTGTACACTGCACTCCAGCCTGAGTGACAGAGTGAGATTCTGTCTCAAAAAATAAAATTAATAAAAATAAAAATGAAAATACAAAAATTAGCCGGGTGTGGTGGTACACACCTGCAATTCCAGCTGCTGGGGAGGCTGAAACAGGAGAATTGCTTGAACTCAGGAAGTGGAGGTTGCAGTGAGCCGAGATCAAACCACTGCACTCCAGCCTGGGCAACAGAGCCAGACTCCATCTCGAAAAAACAAAACAAAACAAACAAAAAAAAAAACAGAGGAAAAGATTATTTAGCCTGAATGGGCTTGGGGGCTCACGCCTGTAATCCCAGTACTTTCAGAGGCCAAGGTGGAAGGATTGCTTGAGTCCAGGCATTCTAGACCAGCCTAGGCAACACGGTGAGACCCTATTTCCCAAAAAAAATGTAAAAACCAGCCAGATGTGGTAATGTATGCCTGTAGTCCCAGCTTCTTGGAAGGCAGAGATGGTTTGAGCCCAGGAGTTCAAGTCCTGGGTAAGATAGCAAGACGCTTATCACTAAAAGAAAAAAAAAATTAAAGGCAATAAAAAAAAAAAGACAGTGACAAGGAACTGAAAAAGGAAGACATAACCTAGGCAACCCTAAACAAAATGACCAGGGCCTTCCTTATCAGTAATTACACTGACTATAAATAGATTAAGGCCGGGCGCGGTGGCTCAAGCCTGTAATCCCAGCACTTTGGGAGGCCGAGGCGGGTGGATCACGAGGTCAAGAGATCGAGACCATCCTGGTCAACATGTTGAAACCCTGTCTCTACTAAAAATACAAAAAATTAGCTGGGCATGGTGGTGCGTGCCTGTAATCCCAGCTACTCAGGAGGCTGAGGCAGGAGAATTGCCTGAACCCAGGAGGCGGAGGTTGCGGTGAGCTGAGATCGCGCCATTGCACTCCAGCCTGGGTAACATGAGTGAAACTCTGTCTCAAAAAAAATAAAAATAAAAATAAAAATAAATAAATAGATTAAACACTCCAACTGAAAGTCAGAGATTCGTTAAATGCCTTAATTCAATAAAAAGATTAACATATGCTGAAAAAACAAAATAATAAGTCAGAGATCTGGCTGGGCGTGGTGGCATACACCTGTAATCTCAGCAGTTTGGGAGGCCACAGAGGGTGGATCGCTTGAGCTGAGGAGTTCAAGACCAGCCTGGGCAACATGGCAAAACCCCGTTTCTACAAAAAACATAAATAAACAGTAGCTGAATGTAGTGGCCAGTCCTAGCCACTCGGGAGGCTGAGGCGGGAAGATGGCTTGGCCTGGGAGTCCAAGGCTGCAGTGAGCTGAGATCACCTTACCCGTCCTCCAGCCCAGGCAACAAAGTGAGCCTCTCTCGAAAAAAAATTAGAGACTGGACAATACATAAAAAACACGGTCCAATTTTATGCTAGGCATAAGACTTACTTTAGAGTCAGAGACATAAATAGGTTGAAAGTACAAGATTGGAAAAAAAAAAATATTCCATGCAAACAGTAACGAAAAGAGAGCCAAAATAGCTATATTAATATCAGACAAAATGGACATCAAGACAAAAATTGTTGAGACAAAACTCATATGTAACATTCTATGATGATGAAAGGGTCAATCTATCAAAAAGATGTAGCAATTATAAAGGTAAATGTAGTAAACCACAGAGCTCCAAAATACATAAAGCAAAAGCGAATAGAACGTTACAACATGAACTTCCAAAACACAAAAATGCACTAACTGTGTTCAATCAGTAAAAACATACGAAAACAATTTGTTTTTATTCTATTCACTTATCCTCTTTTTTCTATTTATTTTTTTCCTGTAGTTTTGAGCAAAACAAAAACAATTTTTTTTCTTGAGACTGAGTCTGGTGTCTCCCAGGCTGGACCAGTCAGCTCACTGCAACCTCCGCCTCCCGGGTTCAAGCGATCCTCCCGCCTCAGCCTCCTGAGTAGCTGGGATTACAGGCATCCATCACCAGGCCAGGCTAATTTTTGTGTTTTTAGGAGATACAGGATTTCTCCATGTTGGCTGAGCTGGTCTCGAACTCCTGACCTCAGGCGATCTGCCCACCTAAGCCGCCCAAAGTGCTGGGATTACAGGTGTGAGCCATCTTGCAGAGCCCCCCCAAATTTTTTTAATTAGAAAAAGAATCCGGGCACAGTGGCTCATGCCTGTAATCCCAGCACTTTGGGAGGCCAAGATGGGCGGATCACTTGAGGTTAGTTCGAGACCAGCCCAGCCAACATGGAGAAACCCCGTCTCTAGTAAAAAATACAAAATCAGCCAGCCGTGTTGGTGGGTGCCTGTAGTCCCTGCTACGCAGGAGGCAGAGGCAGGAGAATCGCTTGAACCCAGGAGGCGGAGGTTGCGGTAAGCCACGATCACACCATTGCACTCCAGTCTGGGCAACAAGAGTGAAACTCCGTCTCAAAAAAAAAAAAAGAAGAAGAAAAAGAGAAGGCAGACACCAAAGACCACATAGTGTATGATTCCATTTATATGAAACATTGAGAACAGGCAAATCTACAGATTGAAAATAGGATACTGGCGGTTGCCAGTGGCTGGGGGAGGAGTTACAGCTAATGGGTACAGGGGTCCTTGGTTTCCTTTCCTTTCCCTTTTTTGAGACAGGGTCTCACTCTGTCATCCAGCCTGGGGTAGGCACAATCTTGGCTCACTGAAACCTCTACCTCCCAAGTTCAAGTGATGCTCCCGCCTCAGCCCCCTCTGTAGCTGGGACTGCAGGTGCCCACACCAGGCCTAATTTTTTTTTTTCTTTGAGATGGAGTTTCACTCTTGTTGCCCAGGCTGGACTGCAATGACACAATCTCAGCTCACCACAACCTCCGCCTCCCGGGTTCAAGCAATTCTCCTGCCTCAGCCTCCCGAGTGGGATTACAAGCCTGTGCCACCATGCCTGGCTCATTTTGTATTTTTTTTTTTTTTTTTTTTTTTTTTGAGACGGAGTTTCGCTCTTGTTACCCAGGCTGGAGTGCAATGGCGCGATCTCGGCTCACCGCAACCTCCGCCTCCTGGGTTCAGGCAATTCTCCTGCCTCAGCCTCCTGAGTAGCTGGGATTACAGGTACGCGCCACCATGCCCAGCTAATTTTTTGTATTTTTAGTAGAGATGGGGTTTCACCATGTTGACCAGGATGGTCTCGATCTCTTGACCTCGTGATCCACCCGCCTCGGCCTCCCAAAGTGCTGGGATTACAGGCTTGAGCCACCGCGCCCGGCCCTCATTTTGTATTTTTAGTAGAGTTAGGATTTCTCCATGTTGGCCAGGCTGGTCTTGAACTCCCAATCTCAGGTGATCCGCCCGCCTCAGCCTCCCAAAGTGCGGGGATTATAGGCATGAGCCACCTAGCCCGGCCTAATTTTTTGATTTGTCGTAGAGACGGGGTTTTGCCATGTTACCCATGCTGGGGGGTTTCCTTCTGATGAGATGAAAATATTCTGGAATTAGGTAGAGGAAATGGCTGAACAGCACTGTGAATGTACTAAAAATGAACTGTACACATTAAAATGGAAGAAACGGTGGCTTTTATACAAATTTTATTTTGATTTTTTTTTTTTTTTGGTCTGACCTTACCCTAGGCTTGTCAGTCAATATTTTGATTTTTTAAAAAGGACAACGATGAGTTGAAATGTTTAAGGACCTATAAGTAGAGATGGTAAGAAGACAGCGCATGGCTGGGCGTGGTGGCTCACACCTGTAATCCTAGCCCTTTGGGAGGTCAAGGTGGGTGGATCACCTGCGGTCAGGAGTTCAAGACCAGCCTGGCCATCATGGTGAAACCCCATCTTTAAAAAAAAAGAAGGCAGCACCGAAGAGGGCAGGACTGAGACTCAGGGGAGACAGAGCACGCTGCCCCCGGCCTCATGCTGTCTGCAGGGCACCAGGAGCCCTGAGGCCTCGCTCCTGCCCGACCACCTGCCTGCTGGGTCCTCACCATCTGGCTTCTGCGGCTTCTTCAGCTCCCACTGCCCTCCAGAGTGAAGGCTGCTCATCCACACCCACCTGGCCTCGGTGACATCAGCAGCGTTTCCCCTGCAAACCCTCTCCAGCTGCACGTAGACTGGGCAGTTGACCCGGCTCCACTCGGGGTCACTGACGGCCAGGAAGTTGGGGCGCAGATGGCCGACTGTGTACTTAGCCAGGTCCGTCAGAGACTGGCTCACGGCCGCCCCGAACAGGAAGGTCCCCAGCACCTTGTACATGGCAGCCACGTAGTTGTTGAAGTCGGAGCGGGAATAGAGCCAGTCTGTGTGTACCAGGTAGGCATCTCCCACCAAGACCTGAGCGTGGGGCAGCCACAGCGACCAGTGGGGGTCCCGGTCAGCCCGTGGGCCTCAGCCCGTGGGTCAGGACTGGGCCTCAGTCCTCCCCACAGGCCTCCCCAAGGCTGCTGCAGAGCTGGGGATTCTAAAAAGGCCCTAGCCAGACTCAGTGGCTCACGCCTGCCATCCCAGCACTGTGGGAGGCTGAGGCGGGCGGATCACCTGAGATCAGGCGTTCAAGACCAGCCTAACCAACATGGTGAAACCTGTCTCTACTAAAAATACAAAACTAGCCGGGTGTGATGGCGCACGCCTAGAGTCCCAGCTACTGGGGAGACTGAGGCAAAAGAATCACTTGAACCCAGGAGGCGGAGGTTACAGTAACCGCAGACCCTGCCATTGCACTCCAGCCTGGGCAACAAGAGCGAAATTCCGTCTCAAAAAACAAAAGGGGGTTCCTATTACCTACAAGTACCACTCGGGGCAAGGCTGTGTCCCCCAGCCCTCCACAGACCTCCAGGCCACCCCCATCAGGAACCCAGGGTAAGGCTGTACCCCATCCCGCCCCCCTCCCTGTCCCTCTGAACCCCTCCTGCCTTACAAGGATGACGGTGGCCGTGATGGTGACCCCGGCCATGAGCCCATGGGTGATGGTGTCTGGATGACAGGGGTACCGGATGGAGTCATCCCCGCAGTAAAATCCTCGCTTGTACGGGGCTTTCACCAGCAACAGGACAGCAAAGGGCAGGGAGGCTGGATGGGGAGAAGGGCCTGGGAGCTGCGAGGTTCTCCAACTGGCTGGGCCGTGGGGCCCCCACACCTGCCTTGCCTCGAGGCCTCCCACCGCTGCTCCCAAGAACAGCAAGGAAGAGCTCTTCTCACAGCACATGGGAGACCCAAGTGACATCCCTTTCCCATCGCCCTCAGATGAGCACGAACTCCCCAGGCCCTCTCCCCCTCACACCATCCCCTCTGCTCCTTGAACAGACCAGGCAAACACTCACCTCAGGGCCTTTGCACAGGCACTTCTCTGCCCAAAATATCTTACTGTTATTTTTAAAAGTAGAGACAGGGGTCTCATGTTGACCAGGCCGGTCACAAACTTCCGGGCTGGAGTGACCCCCCAGCCTCAGCCTCCCAAAGGGCCGAGATTACAAGTGTGAGACAACGTGCCGGGCAGCAAAGTGACTCTCACTTCCGCTCAGTTGCATCTCCCCTCCCGGCTGTCCACACCAGCATCCCTCTCACAAAAGGAAAGGTCTGTTTAGCCGGACGTGGTGGCGTGTGCCTGTAATCTAGCTACTCAGGAGGCTGAGGCAGGAGAGTTGCTTGAAACCAGAAAATGGAATTTGCAGTGAGCCGGGATAGCGCCACTGCACTCCAGCCTGGTGACAGGGCGAGACTCTGTCTCAATTTATAAAAATAAATAAATAAATAAATAAAAATAAAAGGGAAGGTCTGCTCTTTTTCCCTCTTGTCCCATATGGAATTACGCAGTCATCTGTGAGACACTGGACTTAGTCTCCCCTCCTCCACCAGCCAGCACCAGGAGGGGCCTATCGTGTTCAGGACAGAGACCCTGGAGGCTGCTCAGAGCCTGGCCAGGGCAGATGTTTAATAAACATCTGTTAAAACAGGCAGGGCTTATTTCAACCTAAGAGCTGGCCAGAGAAGTCAGGAAAGGGCCAAAGCAGGGGCACAGCAGAGGTGCCTTCATGCTAACCCCTGCCCGTCACTGACCCTCATGCCAGGGCACATGCCAGCCACACAGTGACTCAGGGACCAAAGGCACATTCTCCTGAATTCCACACTTACGGAAGGTGTCACATGGCACTGGGGCTCCCGGGGCCCTGCTGAGCTGAGGGTGGCCAGGGAAGCCGGAGTCAGCTACAGAGGGCAGGGGCAGGGGCGGCCCCCTATTCCACACGGCAGGTGCACAGCAAAAGCCCGGGGTGTCTACCCCAGAGAGAAACGAAGGCAGGGCGTCATTTGGCCCAGCAGGGCAAGGACAAAAAAGCGTGGCTCTTCTGAATTCTGAGAGTCTGAGGAGGGGCAGGGAGCCTCACACTCCTCCCTGCATGCCAGCTGCAAGGGTCCTAGGCACAGCACGCCTTCAATGCTGGCTGAGTCTGGGGAAATAAAGCAGTGAAGACAGCAGAGGTCTGCCTCACAGGGCAGGAAAGGCGGAGTGAATGCAGAACAGAATGGGCAGCGCAGGGGTCCAGAGCCGGGACGGTGCCTGGAGAGGAGAGCGCTGGGGCAGAGATGGCTGTGCTCTAAGAGCGCAGGGGCGGCTGGCGCCGCTGTGAGGGCAGAGACCAGGAGGAGGCTTCTGCAATTGCCAGCGGTGGAAGGTCGGTGTCGCAGGCCGCTGACAGCAGACTCCAGCCCCTCCCCCGAGGCTCTCAGCAGGCCAACTCACACCGTTGGCCTCCGTTTCTGACCTCCCTGCCCCAGTAACTCCAGCTAGAGACTCAGACACCCCCATGACAACTGGCCCCGGGCTTCCCTGTGCCTGGAAAGCTCACTCTGGGGTCCCGGGAACAGGCACCTTCTCTTCATTTGACCCCCGGGATCCTTCCCGCCCTCATGTTGCCCCCACAGCCCCGTCTGGAACCTATGGACTACACTGTGATGGGCCGGAGCTTCCAGAATGGAGGTGCCCTCACCTGGCCGCCACCCCTGGCACGCAGCAGCCACACCCAACCCCACCCCGGCAGCACCTCCCTCCAGCAGGCGGCTCCGCCAGGCTGCCCCTTCTTCACAGGCCGTTTAAAGGAACCGGTTCGGTTATCTGCATGCTGCTGAGCGCCTGTCAGCCAGAAAGTGCCACATACATGTTTAAGTAACTGACAGCACAGCTGCTCAGGACATGGCACCCAGGGCTGGAAGACACCCCACGGGGACCTCGTGCTGTCCCCTGGCCCCCCCCAACGAGGGCCTACAGAGGTCAGAGGGCTTGGCCAGAGAACCAGGAAATGCGCTGGAGAGGAGCGCACCCCCGCCCCCCGCGGTGACAGAACTGCGGGGGCGGGGGGGGGACACAACCATTGTCCCTTCAGCCACAGAGGAACATCTCAGGAGACTGAACCTTGATGTTCTGATGGGGCCAGCATGTATTCTGGGGAAAGGTTCCATAGCTCCCATCCATGACCAGTGAATAGGAATTAGGTACCAGGCGTGGTGGCTCACACCTGGAATCCCAGCACTTTGGGAGGCTGAGGTGGGTGGATCACTAGGTCAGTTCAAGACCAGCCTAACCAATATGGCAAAACCCCATCTCTACTAAAAATACAAAAATTAGCTGGGCATGGTGGCAGATGCCTGTAATTCCAGCTACTCAGGAGGCTGAGGCAGCAGAATCGCTTGAACCCAGGAGGCAGAGATTGCAGCGAGCTGAGATTGTGCCACTGCACTCCAGCCTGGGTGACAAAACAACACTCAGTCTAAAAAAAGAAAATGCTGGGCAGCGGCCAGATGCGGTGCAATGGCACACATCTGTAATCCCAGTACTCGGGGAGGCTGTGGCAGGCGTATCACTTGAGGTCAGGAGTTCCAGACTAGCCTGACCGACAAGGTGAAAGCCCATCTCTACTAAAAATATGAAAATTAGCTGGGTGTGGTGGCAGGTGCCTATAATTCCACCTACTCAGAGTGCTGAGGCAGGAGAATTGCATTAACCTGGGAGGCAGAGTCTGCAATGAGCTGAGATCATGCCACTGTACTCCAGCCTGGGGAACAGAGCGAGACTTCATCTCAAAAAAGAAAAAAAGTTGGGTGTGGTGGTGTGTGGTCTCAGCTACTCAGGAGGCTGAGGTGTGAGGATCACTTGAGCCCAGGAATTTGAGGCTTCAGGGAGCCATGGTGGAGTCACTGCACTCCAGCCTGGGTGACAAAATGAGACCCCATATTTCTAAAAAACTAATTTAAAAAATTAACAAAATAAGAGAGACAATAGGATAGTACTCATTACCAACAAGACATCAATCACATCACCCACTGAATCTTGCCAACATGATCAAACTCTAATCTAATGGGGTGAGCATAAATCCAGCTGCAAATATGCCACAAATACAAAAGACAGAGAATGGGTTCACCTGCACCAGGGAAATTCAGACTTTGAGAAATGCTACAGGCCCAACAGTGTGGAGTCTTCCAAAATCCATAGAAAGGAAAAGGGTGGCTCAGGCCTGTAATCTTAGCACATTGGGAGGCCAAGGTGGGCAGATTACAAGGTCAGGAGTTTGAGACCAGCCTGACCAATATGGAGAAACCCCATCTCTACCAAAAATACAAAAATTAGCCAGGTGTGGTAGCACATGCCTGTAATTCCAGCTATTCAGGAGGCTGAAGCAAGAGAATTACTTGAACCTGGGAGTCGGAGGTTGCAGTGGACTGAGATTGTGCCATTGCATTCTGGCCTGGGTGACAGAGCAAGACTCTGTCTCCAATAAAAGAAAGAAAAAGGATAGAGGAGAAACTTGTAAATTGTGTCTTTTTTTAAATTTTAGTTTTTGGCTGGGCACAGTTGTTCATACCTGTGATCCCAATCTTTGCACATTGAGAGACTGAGGTGGGCAGATCACCTGAGGTCAGGAGTTTGAGGACAGCCAGGCCAACATGGTGAAACCCTGGCTCTATTAAAAATACAAAAATTAGCTGGGCATGGTCCCATGTGCCTGTAATCTCAGCTACTTGGGAGGATGAGACAGAAGAATGGCTTGAACCCAGGAGGCGAAGGTTGCAGTGAGCTGAGATCACACCACTGCACTGCAGCCTGGGTGGAGTTTAAAAAAAAGAAAATTAGGTTTTGTAGAGACAGGAGTCTCCCTGTGTTGTCCAGGCTGGTCTCAAACCTCTGAACTTAAATGATCCTATCACATCAGGATTACAGGTGTGAGCACTCACCCAGCCAACACTTGGAGATTGAAAGAGACTTAAAAGACATAACAATGCTGGGGAACAGTTATGGGCTAGAGATGCATATTAGGGCGGCTCTACTCTAAAGAAACAGAAAGAGGCCAGGTGTGGTGGCTCACACCTGTAACACCAAACACTTTGAAAGGCTGAGAAGGGAGGATTGCTTGTGCCCAGGAGTTGGGGACCAGCCTGGCAACATAGTAAGACCCTGTCTCTACAGGAAAAAAAAAAAAAAGTTTTTTTTAATTAGCCGGGAATGGTGGTGCATGACTATAGTCCCAGGTACTCAGGAGGCTGAGGGGAGACGATCACTTGAGACCAAGAGGTCAAGCCTGCAGTGAGCCATGATCACACCACTGCACTCCAGCCTGGGTGACTGAGCAAGAACCTGCCTCAAAAAAAAAAAAAGAGAGGAACAGAAAGAAGCAATTACTGTGAATGTCAGGGTTGCGGAATACTTCTGGAGAGAAGGGAGGGGCTGGCATTATGCCCATCTCCAGCCCCTTTTGGAAGTACAGAGTCTAGTGGGGAAAACAGCAGCACAAGTGGAGATTCAGGCCGCAGCACCAGGAAGTTCCCTACCACCTTTCCACCTCCTTGCCCTTTCCTTTGGGGAACGGGAGCATGATTTTCTTTCTTCTTTGCCTTTCTAACTAGATAGAGTTTCTGATGGGAGAATTCATATACAGGATGTATAGCATCAACATTAACAGCCAGCTGGAATTGACGGCTTTGTTGATACCCCAGCCAGGCACATCCCTGATTCCTCTACTAAGTACACCTGGATGTTGCTGCTGTCCAGGATTCTCAGCCACATGCTCAGTGCCCACTCTCAGATTATGGAAATCCCCTGACATTGCCCCCAAAAGGAGAGACACTCACTCACAATTCTGCATAGAAATTTTTTTTTTTTTTTTTTTTTTGAGACAGAGTCACTCTGTTGATCAGACTGTAGTCCAATGGTATGATCTCAGCTCACTGCAACCTCGACCTCCCAGGCTCAAGCAGTTCTCCTGCCTCAGCCTCCCAAGTAGCTGGAGTTACAGGTGCCTGCAACCATGCCTGGCTAATTTTGTATTTTTAGTGGAGAAGGGGTTTCACCATATTGGTCAGGCTGGTTTTGAACTCCTGGTCTCAAGTGATCCGCTCACCTAGGCCTCCTAAAATGCTGGAATTACAGACATGAGCCACCATGCCCAGCCATTTCTGTGTCACCCCCCTAGGCCAGCCTCTGCATGTTTGGGCTTGATGAGGCTGTGGCTGTCCAGCTGGCTACTGTAATTTTTAGTCTCTGTGTCTCCTCGATCCTTCTCAGCTGCCCATAAATTCATTTTCTTTTCTTTCTTTTGTTTTTTTTCTTGAGATGGAGTTTTGCTGTGTCACCCAGGCTGGAATGCAATGGCATGATCTCGGCTCATTGCAACCTCTGCCTCCCATGTTCGAGCAATTTTCCTGCCTCAGCCTCCCAAGTAGCTGGGACTACAGATACATGCTACCATGCCCAGCTAATTTTTGTATTTTTAGTAAGATAGGATTTCATCATGTTGGTCAGGCTGGTCTCAAACTCCTGACCTCAGGTGATCCACCCACCTCGACCTCCCAAAGTGCTGGGATTACAGGCATAAGCCACAGTGCCTGGCCTCAGTTTTTAAACTCAGCCTGAGTGGGCTTCTCTCACTAGCAGCTAAGAGCTCTGACCCCTACAGCCTTCTCCCACCCAGCAGGAAGTGTTTGGATGTTTCTGGATCTAAAATCCAAGTGTCTAAGCCTACCAGTAGTTGCAAGTGCAGATGGTCACACAATTTTTTGACTTTACAATGGCACAAAAACGATCACATTCAGTAGAAACTGTGCTTCCAGTACTGATACAATCTTTCTGTTTTTCACTGTTAGTATTCAATAAATTGCATGAGGGCCAGGCACAGTGGCTCATGCCCTTAATCCCAGTACTTCAGGAGGCTGAGGTGGGAGGATCTCTGGAACCCAGGAGTTTGAGACCAGCCTGGGAACATAGTGACACCCTGTCTCTATAAAAAAGATAAAAATTAGCCACGTGCAATTGTGTGCACCTGTAGTCCCATCTACTTGGGAGGCCGAGGCAGGAGAGATCACTTGAGCCCAGGAGACTGAGGCTGCAGTGAGCTATAATCATGCCACTGCACTCCAGCCTGGGTAACAGAGCAGGACCTCATCTCTTAAAAAATAAAAAATTTAGGCCAAGCATGGTGGCTTATGCCTGTAATCCCAGCACTTTGGGAGGCTGAGGTGTGTGGATCATGACGAGGTCAGGAGTTCAAGACCAGCATGACCAACATAGTGAAACCCCATCTCTACTAAAAATACAAAAATTAGCTGGGTGTGGTGGCATGCACCTGTAATCCCAACTCTGGAGGCTGAGGCAGGAGAATTGCTTAGAACCTGGGAGGCAGAAGTAGCAGTGAGCCGAGATTGCGCCATTGTACTCTAGCCTGGGAGACAGAGAAAGACTCAGTCTCATAATCAATAAATAAGTAAATAAAAATTTAAAAGTAGGTAAACTATAGCTTCATGAGGACAGCATTTCTGTTTGGGATGATGAGAAAGTTTAGAAACAGATGGTGGCGATGGTTGCACAATATTGTGAATCTACGAAACGCCATTGAATTGTACACTTAAAGGTGGTACATTTATCCAAGTTTATTATCTATTTCTACAAACATTCACGAAGGCTGGACCCCTGAAATGTCAAAGCCATGATCCAAGGTGGGGAAGGGTGAGTGTTTTGTTCTCCTTTTAGTACTGCTCGGTTTGTTCTCAACCTAAAGTCGGCTGGGCTAACCTCATTACATGCATTTGCGGGCCAGGTATGGTAGCTCACACATGTAATCCAGCACTTTGGGAGGCTGATGTGGGCAGATTGCCTAAGCTCAGGAGCTCAAGACCAGCCTGGGCAACATGGTGAAACCCTGTCTCTACTAAAAATACAAAAATTAGCTAGGTGTGGTAGGGTGCTTGTAGTCCCAACTACCCAATAGGCTGAGGCAGGAGAATCGCTTGAACCCAGGAGGCAGAGGTTGCAGGCAGTGAGCCAAGATGGGATTACTGCACTGCAGGCCGGGCAACAGAGCCAGACTCCACCTCCAAAAATAAAAATAAATAGGACAGGTACAGTGGCTCACGCCTGTAATCCCAGCACTTTAGGAGACTAATATAGGCAGACTACCTGAGGTCAAAAGTTAGCGACCAGCCTGACCAACATGGTGAAACCCAATCTCTACTGAAAATATAAAATGTACCCAGTGCTCATGCCTGTAATGCCAGCCACTCGGGAGGCTGAGGCAGGAGAATCACTGGAACCTGATAGGCAGAGGTTGCAGTGAGCCAAGATTGCACAACTGCACTCCAGCCTGGATGACAGTGTGAGACTCTGTCTCAAAAAATAACTAAATGTATTTTCAACTTAGCATATTTTCACTTTTTGTTATTTGTTTGTTTTTCAGAGACAGGATTTCTCTGTGTTGCCCAGGCTGGTCTTGAACTCCTGGGATCAAGCAATCTACCCACATTGACCTCCCAAAGTGCTGGGATTACAGACGTGAGCTACTACACTAGGCTGCTATTACCATTTTCAGCATCAGTAATCATGCTGAAAATGGGGGTGGCTTGTGTGAGGATATGGGGGAGTGTCACAAAACACAAGGGGACCAGGGCCTGCAGAGGGACACCACAGGCTGCCTCTGGCTCAAACCCAGGGCTCCCTCCTCTGTGCCTCCTGCTGCAGGACAGACCCCAGGCTCACAGCTCTGCAAATCCATGCTGTCTGCATTGCAGGACTTCAAATCCACAGCTGGGGGTTGTGGGTGATGTTGGAGCAGGAGCAGGGCAGGGGGGACACATCAGGGGTTGCACCTGCAGCCACACTGGCAGAGCAAGTTTGTTTTCTTTTTCATTTTTTTATTTTTTTGAGATGGAGTTTCACTCTTGTTGCCCAGGCTGGAGTGCAATGGCATGATCTTGGCTCACCGCAACCTCAGCATCCCATATTCAAGCAATTCTCCTGCATCACCCTCCTGAGTAGCCAGGATTACAGGCATGCACTAGCATGCCTGGCTAATTTTGTATTTTTAGTAGAAACGGGGTTTCACCATGTTGGCCAGCTGGTCTCAAACACTGACCTCACATGGCCCACCTGCCTCCGCCTCCCAAACTGTTGGAATTACAGGCGTAAGCCACCGCACCTCACCCTGGTTGCCCTGTCCTGCCTGCTGGCTCTGTACAGCCTCAGCTTCTCTTCCCCCCACCCCTAGGTGATAGTGAGCAACCCCCACTCCCTGAGGTTCTAGGCCACATTCTATGAGAGCGGTTACAAGTTACATGGGAACACCAAGTACAATCTGGTGAGCTATGTCCCCACCAAACCTTGCCGCATGTCCCCCAAGGGCTCCCTCTTCCTTCTTCCCTTACCAGCATAAAGAGCTGAGGAATTTCCAGACAACACAGCCCCTAGCCCTGCCCCATGGTGAGAAAATAATCAGGCAGCCATCACCTACACATCTGACTTCATTAAAGTGTCACACGGGTCAGGTGCGTGTGAGCCTGTAATCCCAGCACTTTGGGAGGCTGAGGCAGGTGGATCACGAGGTCAAGAGTTTGGGACCCACCTGACCAACACGGAGAAACCCCATCTCTACTAAAAATAAAAAAATTAGCAGGCTGTGGTGGCATGTGCCTATAATCAAAGCTACTCAGTAGGCTGAGGTAGGAGAATCACTTGAACCCAGGAGGCAGAGGTTGCAGTGAGCTGAGATTGTACCACTGCACTCCAGCCTGGGTGACAGTAAGATCCCATCTCAATCAATCAATCAAGTAAGTATCACATGGGAGATTCCCGCATGGCATGACAGGGAGAAGCCTAACTCAGCCTGAGGCAGGGCTGGAGATCTGAGTTAGCTGAGTAAACTGAGGCATAAGGATTTAGTGGGATTTCCACAGGGCAGGGGACTGACCAGCTGCAAGTCAGCAAAAGCAAACTTCTTTGACCAGGCTCATCACATCTAGATGAGTGAGGAAAACAATCACTCCTCACTGTGTGTCCCCAGAACTCAGAGCAAGTGAGTGGGAGCTGTCATACTGGGGCCATTGTTTCTGTGAGCTTCCAGAAGCCTTTCACAGGTGGTGGGATTAGAAAGGAGCAGGGCTTGGCTGAGCGCAGTGGCTCATGCCTGGAATCCCAGCACTTTGGGAGGCCAAGGTGGGTGGATGGCCTAGGGTCAGGAGTTGGAGACCAGCCTGGCCAACATGGTGAAACCCCAGCTCTACTAAAAATACAAAAATTAGCCAGGTGTGGTAGCACTCACTGTGGTCCCAGCTACTCAGGTGGATGAAGCAGGAAAATCTCTTGAACCTGGGAGGCGGAGGTTGCAGTGAGCCAAGATTGCATTACTGCACTCCAGGCCTGGGTGACAGAGCAAGACTCCATCTCAAAAAAAAAAAAAAAAAAAAAAAAGGGCAAGGGACAGAGTAGGGCTAGATAGCTTCCAGGTTTACCTCTCCTCCAACACCCCATCTCTCCCACAGTTCTGAGTTGGGGGATGCCCATGGTGTTCCACAGGTGCACTTGGGATTTTCTCTCCTGACTCCACAGGATATTTACCTAAAACAGAAGCAGCACTGAGGCAGGACCGACCCAACTTCACTTCCAGGTATGCTGTCTCCTGGACAGAGGCGGGGACTGGGCTGCCTATGGGAAGTCCCTTAGCAGGAGCAGAGAGAAACAGGGCTGAGATCACAACCCCAGCTGAAGAACAGTAAAACAGGATGATTAAAACACTTTACAAG